GCCCTCTGGAGGTCAGCTCTGTGCTTCTCTCCATTTCTCTGGTGTATGGTCCCTGAGGCAACCCCCCACCTAACCTCTTCTCATAAGAGTAATTACTCTCAATGTTTTATAAGGCTTGCAGCTATGTTCAACCGTCCCAGCACCCTCTATGTCCAACCTAAAGGCAAAGATTGAGGTGCTGCTTTCAGCCACAGGTCACCTTTGCCTCCTGAGCGCCCCCAAGGTGGTCTTGCTGCCTTGCAGGCTTTGGGGCCATTCTGCCAGGAATGCTCAGTTTCAATGTAGTGGAATGATGTTGGAGCAACTTCTTCCCTGAAGCTGTGTGAAACAAAGCCAGACTTGGGTTTTGTTTCTCGATTTTTGCTTATTTTTATAATAGCTTTATTGAGAGATAATTCACATATCACAGATTTCACTCTTTTGGTTTTTTTAAAGAGTCATTTAGAGAGCAAGAGAGAGTATGTGAGTGCGGAGAGGGGAAGGGGGACGGGCAGAGGGAGAGAGGGAAGAGAATCCCAAGCAGACTCCCCACTGAGCACAGAGCCTGATGACATGGGGCTCGATCTCTTGACTCTAAGATCATGACTGAGCCAAAATCAAGAAGGAGTCAGCTGCTTAACCAACTGAGCCACACAGGCACCCCTAATTTCACCCTTTTTTTTTTTCTTAAAGATTTTATTTATTTATTTGACAGAGAGTGATACAGTGAGAGAGAGAACACAAGCAGGGGGAGTGGGAGAGGGAGAAGCTGACTCCCCGCCGAGCAGGGAGCCCAATGCGGGTCTTGATCCCAGGACCCTGGGGCCATGACCTGAGCCGAAGGCAGACGCTTAACAACTGAGCCACCCAGGTGCCCCCTTAATTTCACCCTTTTAAAGTATACAGTTCCAGGACGCCTGGGTGGCTCAGTTGGTTAAACGGCTGCCTTGGGCTCAGGTCATGATCCCAGGGTCCTGGGATCGAATCCTGCATTGGGCTCCTTGCTCAGCAGGGAGCCTGCTTCTCCCTCTGCCTGCCACTCCCCCTGCTTGTGCTCTCGCGCGCGCTCTCTCTCACGTGTACGTGCAAATTAATAAATAAAATCTTTAAAAATATATACACAAAGTACATAGTTCCATGGGTTCTAAGTATGTCGTGATGTTGGGCAACCATCACCACTATCTGATTCCAGAACATTTTCATCAGCCCAGAGAGAAACCGCATACCCACAAGCAGCCACTGCGTGTTTCCCCGTCCCCAGCCCCTATCAGCTGCTGACCCCCCTTCTGCCCCTGTGGAGGTGCCCAGGCTTTACTTTCCATGTAACACTGCATGGGTCCTGTGTGCTTGGCTTCTTTGACAGCACAGTGTTTTCGGGGCCCATCCACGTTGTAGCATGAATCCTCTCTTTCTTCCTAGTACCAACTAATCTTCTTTGGTGTGGATATACCACATGGTGTTTGTCCATCAGTCCGTGGACATTTAGGTTGTTTCTGCTTTTTGACTGTTAGGAAGATAACAGTGCTGCCAATGTTTGTGTTCGACTTTTTGCGTGGGCCTATGTTTGCACTTCTCTTGGATACATACTCCCTTCAATTTTTAAAAACTCCTCACAGAGAATCTGCTGGCCACGTGGAAGCGAGTGGGGCTGGAACTCAAGCCACATTCTTCAGCCGAGTGCAACTTCTGCAGGAGGCCACTGCATTTCGAAGTGATGAGTGAAAGAGAGAAATCCTACTTCTCCGGCATGAGCAAGTTGGTATCTGCCCAGGCCTGAGTGTGTCATGACCTCAGTTACTTAACCCCAGGCCATGTCATATCCAGATAGTCTCCAGAGCTGTCTTTATATGTGAATTAAATTATATTAAATTTTAATCTATAGTAAAAGCACAGTCCTGGAAATAAATTCTTGTGTGATGGGTCCTCCTGTTATTGGCCACTGAATCAAAGAAATCATTTTTTCCTCCCTTTCAATGCGGTCTGTGTGGTGGCACTCTGTGAAGTGATGAGGAACATACACTGGCCCCTCTGGTAACAGCCTCAGCCCCTGCTGGAGCGGCAGGGCTTCCTCCTCGGCTTGAACCCAGCTACCTCTCGGCTGCCCGCCACGCCAGCCACCTGGCAGCGCCCCCCATCACTCCGCTTCTGATCTCTGTCACCCTCCCTGCTGTCCCTCCCCCGCCACCGCCTTGGCCTCAGGCTTCCCTCTGAAGGTAGGACAGTAGGAGGGAACGCTTGTCTGTCGCCACCTAGTCCTCCAGCCCATCTGCCCCTGCCACCTGTGATGGTGTTCCTTCCAGGGACGGTGCAGGTGTTCGCGCTCCTCTCTGACTCCTTCCGCGTGTGTTCTGTGTCCCCTGGTTCCTAGTGCCTTCCTACAGCCCTCTCTAAGCCCCTCGGTCATGGATTTGCCACCCTGGGCCTGCAGCAGGCTTTGTTGTCCACCTTAAAAATAAACAAGCTCTCCCTCCGCCTAGACCCCCTGCTGGCTGCTACCACACCCCTCTCTTCTGCCTGTTTTCTGCTTTGCTGCCCCACTTGCTCCCTCATCCTGTTCCCTGTGGAGGCTGCTCTTTTCTTACCATGTCTTGCCTCTACCTCGCCAAATCCAGTGGTTCTGGTTTCCTCTCACTGACCCCCCCCCCCAGGGGTCTTTGAGGTGGCTGGCTGTCCTTGGCCTTCACAGCTTCCTCCTCTAGCTTCTGTGTCACTAACCTTTCCTGAACACGGCCCTCCTGCTTCATGAGCTGGTCCTCCTTTGAAGGCCGAGCCCCCCCCGGTTTCACAGTAACTGCCCTCGGCGCTCCCCCTCACGCCATGCGACCTCCCCAGCCTGGGTTCCCGTCCCCAGCTGTTGGCCGCTGACGGCCGGCAGACAGGCCTCTTGAGCCACACAGGCCCGGGGCAGCTGGTCCGCCCGCCTCCCCGGCCTCTACCAGCTTGTGCTGGCTCCTCACGGAGAAGAAGTCTGCTCTCTTTCCTCACTTGAGACTCACTTGAGTCCTCTTAAGTTCTACCTGTAAGCTCCATCTCAGGCCGGGCCAATTCTCGTCAGCCCTGCTGCTGTGATCCCGGGGGTGCCGCCATCATCCTGGCATCTGCCCCAGCCTCGACCCCACGTGGCAGCCTGAGAGAGCTTTTTAAAATTATAAAGCGGATTGTGTTCCTCCCCGGCAGAAAACTTTCCTGGGCCTTCCAGTGGCACTCAGGTTAAGTTCTAGCTTCCTCACACAGGCTGACCGCATTCTCCGAGGTGGGGAGCCCATCCCACCTCCCATCTGCTCCCTGTTGGCGCACACTCCCAGGCCTCAGCTCCCCCAGGTGCTTCCCGGCTTCCAGGCCTTGGTGTTAGCCATTGTTTCTTCCCTGGAGTTCACTACTCTGGATCCTGGCGCAGCTGCCCATCTTTCCACAGGGCAAGGGTCCTGAGGAGACCTTCCCTGAGCCCCCAGGATGAGGCAGCCCAGCCCCTCTGTTCTTCCCGTCACTTGACTTCCTCCTGTGCTGCCCTTCAGAGCACTGGTCACCACCCGCAATGACTTTGCCCCCGTTGGTCATCCGCCCCGTCCTCCCCCTTCTGTATCCCCTTTCTGTATCCGCCAGCTACAGCACCTGACGCAGCACACACTGAGCAAACGCGTGTTGAATGAAGGAGAGGGGGCTTTCTTTGCTCGGTCGCCCTAACAAACCACTGCAGGCACCAGACACCAGGAGACCTCCATTTCTCACAGTTACAGAGGCCGGGAAGGTCAACACCAAGGTGCTAGCAGATTCATTTCCGGGCGAGAGCCCTCTTCCTGGCTGGCGGACCAGTCTCTCCTCCCTATAAATTCACATGACCTTTCCTCAGAACGGGGGTGGAGAGAGAGCACCGCCTTTTTCTTTCTCCTAAAGCCAGTAATCCCATCACAAGGGCCACACCTCCAAAGGTCACCACGTCGGGGTTAGGACTGTAATACGTGAATTTGGGACGTACGCATTGAGCCCATAACAGGGACCAGGGGAAACATCCAAGTCTACGTCACCGGAAAGCAGAAGTGAGCTGAGGAAACCACAAGCCGCTGGAGGACGGAGAACGCTTGGCCTTGCCCCCCTGCTCTTATCTCTGGGTGGCTGTGCTTTCTCCTCCCTGGACACAGTTGTCCTGGCACGCCTTCCCGGGGCGCCCCCTTCTCTGGACTGGGCCTGGAGAGAGCGGCCGAGTCCTGGTCCCATCAAAGCCACCAATCTAGGCAGGCCCCTGGGCCTGATGCAAGTCCTGTCACCTTGCAACCAGCACACGGTTCGTTTCTGCTCGGGAAACACGCCTCACTTGCTTTCCCAGCCCCGGTCCCTCCAGGGCACTGGCCGGGCTTTCCCATCGTCCCCTACACTGCTACACCTGGCAGGAACTCCCTCCGCCCCCTTCCTCCCAGGGTGACTTGTTCCCTCTAGTGCAGGTCCTGTTTCTCTCTGAACACTTAGCAAGACCCCCCCACTTCCTTCTCATAAGACCCAGAGTTTGCTGGGTCAAGGGGGTTGGTCACGCCCCTTTGCTCCTCACTGCTACTCATGGTTATGAGAACACAGGATGATGGAGCCGTCTGCAGGAGGTGGACAGGATTTGTGAACTGCTTCAAAATAAGGCGCTGGGCTTCTAATTGATTTGGTTTTAGAATATAGGTGAGGTTTGGTGGGGTGAAGTCCAGAGCCAACGACCAAGAAAGTATTCTTGAGACATCTTTGGTGCAAAAAGGTGGTTTTATTAAAGCCCGGGGACAGAACCCGTGGGTGGAAACACCTGCTCCCCCAGGGATCTTGAGAACTGGCTGATTATATACTCAGCAGTTGGGGGAAGTAAGGAAAGGGGAGGTTTCTTTTTTTTTTTTTTAAGATTTTATTTACTTATTTGACAGACAGAGACAGCGAGAGAGGGAACACAAGCAGGGGGAGTGGGGGAGGGAGAAGCAGGCTTCCCACTGAGCAGGGTGCCAGATGCGGGGCTCGATCCCAGATCCCAGGACCCCTTGAGCCAAAGGCAGAAGCCCAATGACTGAGCCACCCAAGTGCCCCGGAAAAGGGAGGTTTCAAAAGGATTTTCATATGTTAAAGAAGACCCTTAGGATACTAGAGGCCTGGCTATCATCAAGCTAAGGTTGTTTTTCCCTCTGGCAAGGCATTAAGATAGTTGGGAGATTGCTGGAAGAGTGTCACACACCTGTCCTGCCAGGAGTGGGGGTGCAGGGAGGTTGCAGGGTATCAGCTTGTGCTTTGTCTTCAGCTAGCCTTCTGCTCCCTCATCATAATAAGGACTTGAGTATGGAAATGTATGATGTGATAGAAGTTTTCCAAGAATGTATAGATGCCCGGAGCATGAGAGTATCCTTGAGGGAAAAGAGAGAGTTGTCGTCTCTAATCTTAGCAGGGAGAATTTTCTTACACTTACGTTTTCCTCCTATCAAGCTTTCCTAAGTCTTGTGCCCAGACATCTGTCTAGTACTCACTGCCCCCATGACAGCAAAAAGCACAGGAGGCAACCCCAGGGGCCCGCTCGCAGCTTCACGTGCCTCTAATTCAACCATATCTGCCTCTGAACCCCATTCAGTGCTCTGGGTGGAGGATCAGTCTCTAGGTTACAGAGATAAAATACCGAAGCCGCATCAGCTAGCTGTCCTTCGCAGAAGCCCCTTACCTAATAATGACGGCTGAGGGCTGCTAGTTTCTCAGACCTTCACATGCATTAGCATCAAGCCTTCTTAATAGCCGGCAGAGTAACCCTGGCCACCCCCATTTATAGATGAGCAAACTGAGGCTCCAAACAGGAGGTCGCCTGCCCGAGATAATCCAAATGGCAGAGCCAATAGTTAGCCCAGGTAGCCTGACCTGAGTCCCACTCTTCCCCAGCCCTGAGGGGCGAGGTCGCAGCTAGTGCTCATGGTCAAGGGTGTCCAGCAGCGTGGAGGAGAGGGCCTGGAGTCAACCACAAGCGCCCTTCCTGAGCACAGTGCAGGGGCAGCCGCCTCTCCCCCAGCCCCACCTGAGCCCAACACCCAGGATAATGGAGGTCTGCCCCTTCTGATCCTGTAGACAGCAGATCTTTTTTCTGCAGGTTGAACCAAGGACCATGGACGCTCAGACTCACTTAAGCCAAGCCAACTGTCCTACCATAACTCCGAGCTCCAATCCAAGCATTCGGAAAACGCTCTTCTGAATCCGAAGCCCCAAAAGAACCAGGAGTGTGAGCATGAGTGGGTGGGTGGGTACATGAGGATTCTATCTGAGAACTGCCTGAAGGCAGACTCAGCTGTCCTGAGAGACAGGCAGATGGTGCTCCCCACATGCAAACTGTGGGGCCCTGGATAAGGCCCTGCTTCCTGCTCGTAGACGCGGCCAGATCAGCCCACGAGCCGGGCGGCAGGGGCTTCCCCTAGACTCCAGCCTGGCCGAAAGACAGTTCTTGTTTTCTTTTCTCCCCAGGCACAGGCCAGGGGAGTATTCTCCTCCAGAATCTAACAGGCCTTCTCAAGACAGGACAGAGCCCATGTGGGACTTCCAATTGGTGGATCAGACCTGTCTTTCTTCCTTTTTTTTTTTTTAAAGATTCTATTTATTTATTTGTCAGAGAGAGTACAAGCAGGGGGAGCAGCAGAGGGAGAAGCAGACTCCCCGCTGAGCAAGGACCCTGACACGGGACTTGATCCCAGGACCCTGGGATCATGACCTGAGCTGAAGGCAGACGCTTAACCGACTGAGCCACCCAGGCGCCCCTCTTTCTGTCAGGCAAACAGATAACAGGGGCCACCAGCCTAGCACAGGATTCCCTGTGCCCAAGTCAGAAAGAGGAAGTTGGCCTACATTTCTCTCCCAGCTATGCTCCCCCTCAAACCCCAGGGCTGCCCACAGTCAGGCTGTGTAAGGTTATAGCCAAGTCTTCGGCCAGCACCCACCTTCCACCGCAGAGGCCTGAAGTGGCTGGGCCGGCCCCCAGCTGTCCTGAGCCAGCCGAGCTGGTTCCACTCTCCGGCCACCCCGGGCCCCAGCGTCAGCTGTCCGGCTGCACACGTCTCCTCTGCTCCTCAGAGGGCAGGTTCAGTTGTGGGGACAGTGAGGCAGTAGTCCAGGACAAAGGAACCGCCAAGGCTCCAGGCCTGACGTGACCCACAACTCCCCACACACTCGGCTGTCTCCAAACACCAGTCATTGGTGCTCCAAGCAGTGTCTGGAACCCTACGCTGGATATCAGAACTAGAAATGTACACACGTGCTCCACCCTCATCAGATGAGGCTCTCTCCCACCTAAGGGCAATCCGCGGTGAAATGCAGGGGCCGGGAAGGCAGGCCCCACCTTTGTAGCCAGGTGGTGGCTCACCCAGGTGTCCCTTTGATGTCAGTACAGAGAGACCCAGTATCCATTCTAGGTGAAAACGGAAAGGGACGGATTGTGAGCCCACTCTAGCATCTCTGTGGCTCCCAGCTCCCTGCTGCCGGGAGCTACTTAGAGGCTTCGCCCCAACCCCGGGCCCGCCTCCTGGGCACAGCACAGGCATGACCACCAGATGGCGCAAACGGCCCCCTGAACTCCGCACAACGCTTTCCCCCGCCGGAATGAACACTCACCAGGGCCGCTGCCTCTCAGGATTTTGCTGGGGGCCAGGAATGAAGCAGGCCTGCCAGTTCTCTGCCCTCAAGGCATTTTCAGGCGTGCGGGTGTGGGAGGCAGATCCTGAGGCGGGTATACGACCCAGCCTGCCCTGGGCTGCCTGGAGCGGCGGGGGATGGGGAGGGGAGGGCGTGTGAGGAGGGGCCTGGATGGGACAGGGAGACCCAGCCTGCTGTCTGCGAAGGACCGAGACCACATTCAGGGACCTTCCTCAGACTCCCCTGAGAAGATGCTCGTCAACACAACTGTCCTCAGCAGCTTCCCTGCCCTGCAGACCTGCAGTGTCTGGGCCCCCGCTTCTCCTGCTTGGCAATTTCTCCCAAATCACCTCTTGTCCCTCCTCACTGCAGGCAGGAAAGCCTGGCGCAGTCCCCCTTCTGGCCTCCCGCTCACGCCTCCAGTGAGCTCAGGGTTAGCCGTTGGGCCTCCGAGGGGCGTCTGCTTATTGAGCGCCTGCTACATGCCCGGTGGGGAGCAGGGGAGGCCGGGCAGTGGCGTGGCGGGGCGGCCTGGGCCGTCCCCGGGCTATTCGGCCGTCGTGGGGCCACGGCAGAAGTTCCGGTTGTAGAAGTGGCGGTTGTCCCTGGTCAGGGCGGTGCCCAGCTGGGCCCAGAAGGCGCGCTGGCCGCTGGGCTGCCGGGGCCACAGGAGGACGCTCTGGCGGCACAGGCGCTGACGCAGGCGCACGTAGCGGGAGCGGTGCGCATCGGGGCGCAGGATCACCAGCACCACCACGTCCTTGCGGTCCTCCAGCAGGCGCTGCTGGGCCAGCAGGAAGCTGGCACGCAGGAGGCCGCTGAGGCGGTCCGTGTGGGCCAGCACGAACACCGTCTTGCAGCTGCTGTAGACCGAGGCCCACAGGTTCTCAAAGAGCGTTTTGCCGGGCAGCCAGTCACGTTCCTCCAGGCACAGGCGCAGCGCCCGGCGCCCGCGGCGCTCCTCCAGCTGGACCCGCAGCTCGTTGTACACCCAGTCGGCCACCGAGCTCTGCTCCTTGTCGAAGACCACGAAGGCATCATAGGGCAGGGCGGCAGCACCCCGCTGTCGCCCGCGCCACGGCAGCCAGGCCAGGCACAGGTGGAAGCAGTACCAGAGGTCCCAGCCACACAGGTGGTGCAGCATGGGCACAGCCAGGCTCAGGGCCACAGCCAGCAGCGAGAGGCCGAAGCAGTCCCAGGAGAGGGCCTCGTCCAGGCAGAGGCGCAGGTCCTGCTCGAAGATGCTGTGGCCCTGGAGCTGGCCGGGGCTGCCACACCGGACGTGGCTGGGCAGCCTGGGCACTGCGGCCTGCACCTCCAGCAAGAAGTCCACAAAGGCCGCCCCACAGGCACAGTGCAACGGGTTGGCGGTCACATCTAGGACTTTCAGGGCGCCTGCCACGGAGCCAAACCAGGAGGGCTCCACCGTCTTGAGGGCATTGGCGCTGAGGTTGAGCTCTCTCAGCCTCGTGGCCAGGGCGAAAAAGCCGGGGACCACGAAGCCGATGCTGTTGCTGCTGAGGTCCAGCCTCTGGAGCCGGGTGCCGTTCGGCAAGCTGCCGTTGCTCAGGGCCTTCAGCTGGTTCCCCGCCAGGTCCAGGGCCTCCAGCATGGGGAGGAGGGCCAGGCTGCTCCAGTTGAAGAAAGCCAGGTAGTTGTCACGAAGACGCAGCAGCCGCAGGCCCTTGGGGAGGTTGTCCAGGTTGCGGGGCAGGAGGGTGTGCAGGCGATTCTGGGACAGGTCCAGCCGGACCAGGTTCCTCAGGCCTTGGAAGAAGTGCAGGTAGAGGTCCCCCTCCGCCCACATCTGGCTCAGGGCATTGCCGCTGAAGTCCAGGGCCCACAGCGAGGTGCTGCGGAGCTGCTGGGACACGCGGCTGTGGATGGCGTTGTGCGCCAGGCTGAGGAAGCGCAGGGCCGGCAGCTGCGCCACAAAGCTGAGGTTGTGGCCCACGCCGCGCATGCCGAAGGGCTGGCTGTTGTAGCTGAGGTCCAGGGCCTCCAGCCGCGGCAGCTCGGTGAAGGAGCGCCCATGGTACAGGTCCAGCTTGTTGTGGGACAGGTCCAGCACCCGCAGGCTGCTCAGCGGCACGAACTGTGAGCCGTTGACCGCCTGAGAGATGCTGTTGTGGCTCAGGCACAGGCACTGCAGGTGCGAGAGCTGGGCAAACATCTCCGGCTGGATCGTCACTACGTTGTTCCGCGACAGGTCCAAGGTGAAGTTGAGGGTCCTGCAGCTTGGCATGAAGTCCTCAGAGCTCGGGGTGCCCGGTGGGCCCGCAGCCAGGTCCCTGGACAGCCACCAGACTTTCTCCACCCCGCCCGCCTCCCCCGTGGCCCCCGCCGCCCACCCTGCAGCTCCGCTAATGCGGTTGTCTGACAGGTCCACGTAGCGCAGGCCCGGGAAGGCCCCGAAGATGCCAAGCTGGGCCTGGTTGATGAAGTTCAACTGCAGATGCAGACGCTGGAGCATGGGCAGGTGGGCCAACGGCCGGAGCGTGGTCTCGCTGAGCGAGCGGAAGAAGATGCCATGCATGTCCAGCTCCTGCAGGGACAGCAGGCTCCCGAAGGAGGGTGCCAGATGCAGGTGGGCGAAGGACACCTTCTTGTGGTAATTGAAGGACAGGTTGAGTCTGCGCAGCCGGGCCAGGCCATGGAAGGCTTTGGTTTTGGTGATGCAGCTGTACAGGAAGTTCTCGCTCAGGTCCAGCACCAGGAGGTTGCCCAGGCCGAGGAACCACCTGGGGTTCAGGCTGTGGAGAGAGCTGTCCTTCAACACCAGGCCTTCAAGGCGGCTCAGATGGCTGAAGGTGTCAGGGTGCAGCTTGGGGAAGCCGTGGGGGCACTCCCTGCAGGGGTTGCGGGCGTGGTCACAGCGGCGACAGTTCCCCCCCACGTCAAGCACGCGCAGGGCCGTCAGATTGGCCAGGTCATCGGGGGCCAGGGTGATGATGTGGTTGTAGGACAAGAGCAGGTACTCCAGGCTGGGGGGCAGAAGGCGGGGCACCACGGTCAGGTTGTTGTACTTGAGCGACAGGTGTGTGAGGTTGCCCAGGCCCAGGAGGGCGCCCGGGGCCACGTGCAGGGCCTGTCGGCAGGGGTTCTTGTAGTAGCAGTTGCCATCCAGGAAGAGGAAGCGCAGGGCGTGCAGGCCTGCAAGGTGGGCAGGGTCCAGCACCAGGATGTTGGTGCGGCTCAGGGACAGGGACACGAGGGAACTGGGCAGGGCGGGCACAGTAGTGATGCCGTTGTAGCTCAGGTTCAGGTCCTCCAGGGTGGGCACGGCCAGGAAGGTGTTGGGCTCGATGGTCATGTGGCAGGGGAAGTGCATGGGGCTGAGGCCGGCGGGGGGGCAGTTCCACTTGAGGTTGAGACGCCGCAGGCTGGACAGGTGGACAAAGTCGGAGTCGTGGAGGTGGTGGATGCGGTTGGAGTAGAGGGAGAGGCTGGTGATGTTCCCGCGGGGCGCTGCCGCCGAGAAGCGGGGCACAGACTTGAGGAACAGCCAGTTGCAGTCCACCAGGCCGTGGGGCTGGAGCTCACAGGGCAGGAAGGGAGGCAGGGCGCCCGGGGCCAGGACCACGGCCAGCACGGCAGCCTGCACCAGGAGAGACAGGGGGTGCAGGGCGCCACAGCAGGGGCCCTGCGGGCCTGTGAGAGTACAGCCGCAGCCCCGCCTCCACCTGCCCCCACTTCCTGGGGACTCCCAGCCGGGCTCCCAAACCCCTCTCTCCAAGCCCTCCCCGGGGAGGCTCCTGCCTCTGCTCAGCACCCACCCCGGTCTAAGGCTCACGGAGAACGTAGACTCGGGTCTCAGAACCAGCCTTCAAGTCAGAGCTGCGTCTGAGACCTGGAATCCAGACTCATGATCTAGAACTTTCACGCAAAACCAAACCCCAGCCAGACAGGAGAGCCAGGCTGGCAGTCAGCAGGCCCACCGGGTTCTCCCTCACCTTCCCTTTTCCTTCCTCAGGGGCCACTTCTCTTTCTTCCTGAGCCAGGGGACACCTGGCTCCCTTCCACCCAGCTGCCCTAAAAAGCCCTCCATGTCCTCCACCAGCCTCCCCCAACCCCTCCCTCTGCCTCTGGCGAAGTCCCAGGCAGGCACGAGAGTCTTCTGCTAGGGTCTGGGCTGAGTACCACACGGGGCCCCGGCTGGGGCCGGGGGTGGGGGGTGGGGGAGAGGGCACTGCCCAGCTCTTCCCCCTCCCCCACCTCTCCCAGACCAAGCACCCAACCCACTGCAGGTCAGAACAGATCAGTTAGGGAGGGCAGCACAGAGCCAGACAGCGTCTAGTCCCGGGCGTCCACCTGGCTTGCTGCCCCAGCGCCACCACTGAGCAAAGCCCCAGGCCTCAGCATCCCCAGCCACACAATGGGTTCTGGTCTTTTTGCTCAGAGAAAGTCTTCTGCTTTGATGTCTTCGGGGTTCAGTGAGTGTCCTCAGGGCCACGTCAGGGACAGCCCTTTCACTATTGTCTGCAGCCACCAACCCCCCCCCCACCACCACTTCCCGCTGCCCCCTTCCCTGGAGGGCTAATAAGGGCTGCTGTCTTACCATGACAGGGAGCGGGGGCTTCTCCAGAGGGGCTGGCTGGCAGACTGGGCAGCGGCTGCAGGAAAGGATGCTTAGGGCTCACAGCCCCTTCCCGCATCGGCTCAGAGAACAGAGGAAGTGAGAATTAAGAAAAAACCTGGTAGCCCCCTCCCTCGCCCCCACCAGGCCTGGAGCGAGGGTTGCGGGGGTGCACTGAGTCAGAGGCCATTTGCATAGGCAGTTTGCAGACCGCCCCTTCAATCCTTCCTCTTTCCATTCCCCCACCACCCCCACCCCACCACTGCCCTGGAGGCCTCACACCTGTCATCAGGGAAAGTCTGGGGAGAAACAGTCACAGAGCCCAGTTTCAGGTCAGTGAGAGACTGGGATTGGGGGCAGTACCAGATGTGGGCTGGGCATGCTGACACCCCTGCCAGGGCGCTCCCTGTCCCAAGAGGACTGGCACCCTCACACCTCAGCCCCTTGGCCCCTGCCCCAAAGGGAGCTCTCTTGGGCCAGTGGCCCCCACACCTGCCCGTTCCTGCCCCCTTCGTCCTGTCCCCAGAGCTCTGGGGGGGGGGGCCTGGCACACCCGGGGGTGCAGCAGCATGGGCCTCACCTTGGCTGCACCTGCCTCCACCGCAGCCTGCCACTTCCTCCTGGGGCAGGGCTTCCTCTTCTGCGTGCCCAGTGTGCCAGGCGGGGCCCCCGTCAGAGCACCTGCCCCATGGCCAGGCCAGCTGGGATGGCTCTTGCCACGCTCCCTCTGACCCAGCTGATCCTAACAGATGACTCAGGCCCAAAGCCTCAGGGTGACCTGGGCCCACGGCAAGTCCCGTTGGCTCCAGCTTCTGGGAGTTGCCCACCACCTTCACATTCACCAGGCTAGCCTGAGCCATCCTCAATCTCTCGCCTAGACCAGTGCAGTCACTGCCGCCCCACGGATTGCCCTGCTTCTGTGCTCACACCCCACAGCCTATTCACATTCCGCCCCTAAATCACACTAGGCCCTTCCTCGGCTCAGACTCCTTCCTGGCCCTTTCTGGAATCCAAGGCACAGTCCACATCATGGCCAACAAGGTCCTATGAGATCTGCCCTCCCATGGCCCCCCTGACCAATCTCCAGCCACACTGGCCTCCTTGGCTGGGGCTTGAATACTTCCATGCAGTCTCCTGCCCCAGGGCCTTTGGACTTACTGTTTGCTCTGCCTGGAAACTCTTTTCCTATTCACTTGGCCCCCTCCATTGCCTCCTTTGTATCTTGGCTCACACATGACCCTCTGGAGGCCTTCCCTGACCTCCTTTTAAACCTCTCACCCTAGATCTGATACCACTCAGACCCTTTACCTGCTGCTTTTCATTGTCGTAACGTTTTACCTGCTAACATATCATTGATTTTCCATGGTCTATTGTATATTGTCCTATTCTCCTACTGGAATGTCTGCTTCTTTTCTTAAGATTTTTATTTCTTCATTTGAGACAGAGAGAAAGAGAGAGCACAAGCAGGGAGAGGGGCAGAGGGAGAGGGAGAGGGAGAAGCAGACTCCTCACTGGGCAGGGAGCCCAATGCAGGGCTCGATCCCATGACCTGAGCCGAAGGCAGACGCTTAACGACTGGGCCACCCAGGCGCCCTGGAATTTCTGCTTCTCAATGGCAAGAGTTTTTTGTCTGTATACGCAGGGTCCAGCACAGTGCCCAGGACATCATAGGTGCTCAATATTTACTGAGTCCATGAGTCTCCAGCACTCAGCTCTGGGCAGAGAAAATGCCTCTGAATGATGGCTGAATGAATTAATGAATGAACAAATAGAGCTTCTGCTGGGAGGATGCAGGGCTGGACACCTGCCCACCCCTGCTTCTCCATGCCCACTTCTGGGTGGCTGTCATGGCAGGCAGGCTCCCGGCTGCCGGGCATCCAGCTGGTACCTAGGCCCAGGGCTTCAGCAGTGGCGAGGGGGGCAATGCCACTGTCTTCCTGCCCACCTGGGAGCCAGTGTTTGGGGTGGGCAAGGATAGGCCTCCTTCTCTGGGTCCTAGCTAGGGTTCCAGCTCTCCTTTCTATAATTCTAGGGTCTTGAGTAGGGGCTGCGAAAGGCCCCGGGGATGGGACACTCTCCGGAGCCCCAGCCCAAGACATGCTCCCAAGAGAAAGACGGAGCCCACTCAGCAGCTGAATCCTAGCCAATGACCCCTCATGCCCCCACCCCTGCACACCTCCCACCTGGGATAGGAGGGGCCTCTCACCCCCTTCTCAGAGGCATGGGCTGAAGTTCTGGCTCCTGCTGAATCCCCGAGCCTAAAGGAGACTCTCCGAGAGTCCCAGGGACCAGGGAGCCAGACCCTCAGGGGCAGGAACAAAAGTAGCAGAGAGGACCAACAAACTGACAGAGCTCAGGTCTGCACACATGCGCACAGATTAGAGGTCCAAGGTCTACACCTCAGCCCCAAAGGGTCCAGGAGGCAGAGGAGACCCAGTGTGGCAGGCTGAAGAATGCCCCAAGGAGATCCGCGGCCTAATCCCCAAACATGTGGATACGTTCCTATACAGGACAAAAGGGCCCTTGCAGGTGGGATTAAGTGAAGGATCCTGAGGTGGGGAGAGTATCTGGAAAGTGGGGAAGTGAAAATAATCCTTAGAAGACAGAGGCAGAGGAGGATCTGACTACAGAGGGAGGCCATGTGACCGGGAAGCCGAAGGAAGCAGAATCACAGAGAAGATGCTACCTCTCCAGCTTTGAGGAGGGAGTCGGGGCCATGAGCAAAGGAATGTGGGCAGCCTTTCAAGCTGGAGAAGGTCACAGACTCGCCCCGGAGGCCTCCAGAAGGAACAAGTCCTGCCAACAGCTGGATGTCAGCCCTGTCAGACTTCAGCCTTAGATTTACAAGAACTACTAGGGCAGCAAATCTGTGTGGGTTTAAGCCGCTACGTTTGGTACTTTGTTACAGCGGCCATAGGAAATGAATACGCCCAGATGCCCCCTATCATGGCGAAGGTGTGCCTGCCTCTCGGGCTGAGCTCCCATCAACAAGGCAACCGGTGTGAGGCTTGTGTCCACACACACACACACACACACACACACACACACTCTCTCTCTCTCTCTCTCTCTCTCTCTCTCCCCCATATACCTGTAGCCAGGGGTGCTGCAGCCCCACCTAGCAGGCTGACAGGCCCCTTCCGAGTTGAGGGAGGGCAGTTAGACACACAGTTTCCCAATTCCCAGTGCCAGAGGTGATTCCTCAGGGCCAGACTCAGGTGTTGATTTAAAAATATTTTATTCTTTAAAAAATACAGCATTCAACCATCTTATCCTTCAGTGACCCCCTATGCCAGCCCTGACTGAACCCACCCCTGTGGCCAAAGGCTTTGGGGCTGTGCTAGGACCCTAGTTCCCCTGGAGGCCAAGCTCATTCTTCCAGGCTCCCTACCCAGCCCCCTTGAGCCAGCCAGGCGGGATCCCCGGACCCCTGGGGCACATAGGTGAGAGGCAGGGACAGCAACAGGGGGAAGGTCACAAAATGCCAGCCCGGTGGCCCTCGGAAGCTGCAAGAATGTTCCATCACCAGCCCTCCTGCCCCACAGGAAGCAACCCTCCCCTGGAGCCCAGGCTGGGAAGGAGGCAGGTGGCTGGGAGCAGTGGGGCGCAGAGCCCCACGGTCCACGTGCCGGCACGGCTCAGGTCCGGCCACCTAGCTGTCATCCCCATTCTCGCCGGGGCCACGGATGAGGCGCTTGTGGCCCCGCTTGCCCCCTGGGCCCTTGGGCTTGGCGAAGGCCTGCTTGAAGGCATGTTGTTTGGGGTGCACCTCATCGTAGAGGAACTCGGCTGTCAGCTCCGCCCCATCGCCAATCTCAATCTGCATGGGGCAAGGCAGTGGTCTGGTGGGGGGCCCTGACACAAACCACCCCGGGTCACCCCCACTCCTGGGGCACCCCCTCGACCTCTCATACTCTAGCCCTGGGGTCTTCTCCCAGACCCCCACCTGGAATGCCACCCCCAGGAACACAGGGTTGGGTCTGCTGCCCTGCACGCTTTGGTGACCCCTACCTGCCTTCAGAGCCAGGGAGAGGAGGATCATGGGTGGCCAAGGCTGGGGCTTGTCCACGCCACCAGTCAGCTGGCCCCATGCCCATCCATGTGACACGGCACCAATAACCCCTGCCTCACCCCTGCCTCGGACTCCAGGGCCCCAGCTGGGGCGGGGGGGGTGGTACTGGCCCCTGGGCAGTGAGGCTCTGGGGAATGGGCACCCACCTTCTTGGAGATCTCCAGCTGGAAGTCCTGCTCCACTGAGTCTAGGAGGCGACTCTTGCAGCTGGAATAGAGCATGCGCTCCTTGATGCTGCACTTGTACCCCGGCATCGAGTAGATGAACACTGTTGGGGGGGGGGCGGTGAGCTGAGGCTGGGAGACCTGCTGACCCACGCCCCCTGTAGCAAGGCTACCCAGCTCCTGTGTCCAGACACAGGCGTGGGAGCCCTGCTATGGCCACTCACCCACAGACTCGAGGGGGTCACCCTCATGGGTGTGCTTGTAGAGGAAGAAGTGGTAGCGGGCAGCATCTCGGGGAACCCTTGAAGGCAACTGGGCCACCTCCGTGGGCTCCGTGTGCACCAGCTCGATCGTCTCCCGCTCCAGGTCCAGCTTCTGCCCAGGGCAAGGGGAGACACGAGAACATGAGCAGGGGGAGGGCCTGGGCCCACCTGGCAAACAAGAAGTCCCCGAGGGGACAGGCAGGAGCCAGGGTGGAGCCTGTGTGTGGTCTCCCTCTCTCAGGACTCCTCACCCCAGTGGCCATTCCACCACAGGGGTCCCTATGAAGAGGTCACACGTGGGCCCCGACCTCTGCCCCTTTGAAGCTCCGCTAGAGGAGGAAGCCCCACCAAGGGCAGTGGACAGGACAGCGGGGAGAGCCTCGACCTGAGGCAGGCCCCACTGTCAGGCTGGCCTGTCCTCAAGGATGAGGCTCCTGGGGGGGGGCGACCCGCCTCAGAAGGAAGGAGCCATTCTCCTTGGCAGGGGGAGGCACGGGGCGCCCGGCTGGCTCAGTCAGTGGAGCATGTGACTCTTGATCTGAGGGTCTTGAGTTCAAGCCCCACGTTGGGTGTAGAGCTTACTTAAAAAAAAAAGGAAGAACAGAAGAAAGGGCAGGGGTGCGTTAAGCATCTAACTTCTGATTTCGGCTCATGTCATGATCTCAGGGTCGTAGGATCGAGCCCCGGGTCAGGCTCCACACTCAGTGGGGAGTCTGCTTGAGATTCTCTCTCTCCCTCTTCCTCTGCCCCTCCTCACCAGCTCGTGCTCTTTCTCTAATAAACAAGTAAATCTTAAAAAAAAGGAAAGAAAGAACCAAAGAAAGGGGGAAGCCTGGCCACCGGGCCAAGAGGCCCTGCCTGAGGAGAAGGGGCAGCCCAGGGGGCTGCAGAGGGCATCTCGGACAGATAGGGCCTCAGGTCTGAGGGTCAGCGTGGATCTCACAGATGTCCCTGCACATGAGCAAGGACTGGGCAAGGCAGGGGAACCCTGTGCGTCCCCTGCACGCGGCAAACAGGACCGGGTAGGGACGGGGAGGGGGCAGGGGCCAGTGTGATCCACGAGTACATGCGGGAGCTGAAGTGCACAGACCGGGGGCCAGGCGCACACCCGTCCCCGGGCTTGAGCGGGAGCAGGGCAGCGGCACAGTGTACTAGGGGGTTGAGGGGGACACGGCCACTCACCAGCTGGATGTAGTTGATGGTCTTCTGTCTGAGCTGCTGTAGCGCCCTCTGGGCTGCAGGCTGCAGTGGGAAGGTGAGGCCCTGCAGGGTCTGGTGCTTGCTCTCCACACTGATCTCTGTCTTCACCTGGGTGCGGGTAAAGAGTGAGGGAGGCCCTGACCTGCCTGACCAGCGCCCTCGGAGCACAGGCAGGCCGGCCGGCTGGGCCTCACGGGACCCGGAGGGCCTCAGGGCAAGACTCCCGCCCACCCGGTCTGGCGCACCTACCTCATTAATACGGATCTGCTGAAGCTCTCTCTCGGCCGAGGTCAGCGGGGCAGGTGCCGCACAGGACGACAGGTGCTTCTGGTACCCAGCAAAGGAGAGGTCGTCCTGGCCGGTGAATGCAGAAGCATAAATGGGCACCGTGGGGTGAGCTGGCAGAAGCCCACTGAGCACCCCAGCCAGAAGCCCCTGGACTCTCCCAGCCCTCCCCATGCCTCCGCACCCCTGGCACCCACTTCCTGTGGGACCCTGCATAACATCCCACCCTCTGTGGGCCTGTGATCCCGGCCTGGTGGAGTCTGGCCTAGGGGGCCTACCTTCACTGTCCCAAAGAGCTCATCCTTGATGTGGCCGCCCCCAAACTCCTTCTTCACTGTGGCCCGTGTGGCCGCATACAGCATCTTCAGCCGCACCTGGAGGGCAGGAGCTAAGCCGTGAGACCCCTCCAGGCAGGGCTGTCTCTCCAGGAGCAGGCAGGAGGCTCCGGGTGGGGACCAGGCTGTGGCTTTGTGCCCATATACCCAGCAAAGGGCGCAGCAC